GTTCTATATTGTAGTTATTTTACATAATGTCTGATTGTTCGTGTGATATAAATGTAACATAGAATTGTTGCTTTCAATGATGACGCAGATTAGCCCAAAATAAATCAAACAATTTGACATATAATTTTTTTTTTAACTTAATTGTATTGATTTTAAATTTTTAGCCTAGAAGTTATGAGCCAAAAGAATTCGTATTAAAGTAATTTCAGCGTAAAGTAGATTTTAAACATTGAAAATTTGTCAAAGAGAATACGTATTATGTAATTATACACAATATTGTTGAATTATATCGCAAGGACATAGCTACGGCGTAGCGCTCGTGCTACGATAATGAATTACGTAGGCGTCGTAGTACGTGTTTCGTAGGCAGCCGATAATTTGATTTGCTGTGTTTTAGAAGGTTTCCGGAAACTGTAAGATATTTTCAATCACTATTACTGCAGCTTAGAAGGACACATTTAATGGTTACGAAGCAAATATATTATTAGCAATCAGTTTAATTTTTTTGAACGTCCTTTATTTCTCCACGAGAATGCCGCATTCGTCCTTGAGATATGAGGTTGAACTGGTAATTGGATATTAACCATAATTAATTTTATATTTTATATAAAAAAAATTATTACTCTCTTTTGTTGCACAATGGAGTGACATACTCACTAGGTGAATAATCTCCTTAAATAAAGATAAATAAAAAAAAAAAAATCTATAATACTCTTTAAGCCCTAAACAATATTGTAATGAAGAGTAATTTGGCCATGCACGGGTGGGTGAGACTTTTTTTATTGCTTAGATTGGTAGACGAGCTTCACAAACCACCTGGTGTTAAGTGGTTACTGGAACCCATAGACATTTAGAACGTAAATGCGTAACCAACCTTGAGATATAAGTTCTAAGGTCTCAGTATAGTTACAACGGCTGCCCCACCCTTAAAAACGAAACGCATTACTGCTTTAAGGCAGAAGTAGGCAGGCTGGCGGTACCTACCCGTACGGACTCACGCTTACCTATATCTGACGTAAAGCAGTCATGAAATGCGGTTTCAAAGCTGTTTCAACTGCTAAGTAATACAATTGAGGCTTCGATGTCATATCTGAAGGCGATAGCGACACTAACATATGATGTCCATGGTCTTCTCCTACAAGCTTAGATCTGTTAGTCCTTGCTTACACCTGTGGCATCAAAACATTCGACATTTATAAATCACTGAGCCAAAGTTACTAAATTCAATTCAATTCCGTTGCAACTTTGACAAGAGGTTTTTCAACCAAATAAACTTGTAGTTATCTCTCGATATTTAAAAACAATCAAATTAGAGAAATATAGTCGTTATTTTTGTGTGTGTAAAGTTCTTGTAAACCACTTTATTAATCATTAAATTATAAATATCATTAGATTTAAATATTTTCAAATTAAATCAAATCAAATCAAAAAAAAATTATTCAACATAAATGAAAGTACATACTTGTTGAACGTCAAAAGAACTACCGCCAATTCACAAGAACTAGCCTCCGTCCTGAGAAGAATTGGCAAGAAACTCAGCGGGCATGTCTTTTTTTTTTTTTTAATATGAAATTATTATTTATTTATTTTTTAATAATAGAATTTTAAAATATGGTTTTTTCTGGAAAATTCACAAAAGCTCGCATATTCAAAGAAGGTAAATTTAAATTATTTTTTTAAGGAATTACACCAACCGAACCATAGTCTAATAAATGACGCGTCACAACTTGATATTTTATGTAAGAGCTAAATAAAGTACTTATGTATTATTTGTGTAGTTGACAAGCTTTACGTAGAGCTTACACAATCGTCAGATTCGTCGAGATGAATCCGTGCGAAACCGGGACACGACGCTAGTGCTGATTTGTGTACGTGCAAAATTCATAGGCGACATTTATATAACGCGAACAATTCATATGTTAAAATTTCGTTAATATGTTAAATATATTATTATTAGTATATTAATATTAATATTATAAATGTTATCATATTTCATATAAAACATTCTCATATACGATAACGTTCTCACAACCGTCGAAATGAAAAAAACAAAAAAAATGTAACAACGTAATTATTCAACATTCGTTTTAATTCATACCGATATCAATTTAATTTTAATATTTACAATTTTACAATAAAACAAACTTAAACATTTTAACACTAACTAACTATTAACTACTTTTATCCACAAGTTGGTTTCATTCTTTTCGCCTTTCAGACAGCTTAGGACTATGCGAGGCGTGAAAGGGTATTCTTTTTAAGCGACATTTTTGCAATTTTATACAAGAGCCATTTAATGGTTAAAACTAAAAAAAATATATTTTATTTTATTGCTTAGATGGGTGGACGAGCTCACAGCCCACCTGGCGTTAAGTGGTTACCGGAGCTCATAGACATCTACAACGTAAATGACGCCATCCACATTGAGATACTGCGGCTGCCCCGCCCTTCAAACCGAAACGCATTACTGCTTCACGGCAGAAATCGGCAGGGTGGTGGTGGTACCCACCCGCGTGGACTCACAAGAGGTCCTACCACCAGTAAAAAAAATATCATCACAAAAAAAACTTCTTCAGCTATTTGAATGGAGTAAACTTAATTGAAGTTCAATTAAAACCATTAAATCGTTGATGCTAATACCAAATAAAACGCACCTTTAATTATAAAGATAAATGTTACGTACATTGTACATAAAAATTTGTGATGATATTTTTTCCCAAATTTATACTTCAAATGGCTCTTCTATAAAATTGCAAAAATGTCCCATAAATCAAATAACCGTTTTACCCGTCAAATGTATTCATTGATAAGATACCTATGATAACTATTTTGATGATACAATTGTAACGATATTATAAACAAAATTTGTGTTTGTGGGTTTGTTTTTCTTCAGAAAAAAAATTGAAGTACCGATAACATTATTTTTATACATAGATATTTATAGGTTCTCCATACCTCCACACCGCCAGAGACAAGAATGGATGGAGAAAGATCGTGCTCGCGAAGGTGATACAAAAGGGTGGTCACGACCCTCAGCAATGAGGAATGCGACGCAAGAAGGAGGAGTCTGGTTATTACTAGAAGCGTGATTTTTACATGTTTTTAATTGTAATATTAGATATTGTTAATAACAAAATCTTTATGTAATTCTCTAACATAGCAATATAGAGATACATATATAGAGATTGAGGTTCTGAGACAAAGAAAGCAAAATAAACAGAGGATAGTTCAAAATCGATTTTTGCAAAATAAATCAAATGGATCTAATAGGAAGTGGAAACACAGGCATAGCTAGGTACAGGCTAACTGTAATTATTGCCGAAGGTGTCAGCATTTTTAAATCTCGGACTAATTATTACAAAATTATAATTTGCGTCATTACTGATGGTAGGACCTCGGGTGATCCGCGCGGGTAGGTACCACCACCCTGTCTATTTCTGACGTGAAGCAGTAATGCGTTTCGGTTTGAAAGGTGGGGCAGCCGTTGTAACTATACTTGAGTCCTTAGAACTTATATCTCAAGGTGGGTGGCGCATTTACGTTGTAGATGTCTATGGGCTTCAGTAGCCACTTAACACCAGGTGGGCTGTGAGCTCGTCCACCCATCTATGCTAAAAAAAAAGCGAAGCCTGGAGTACATATTTGCGACTAGGTGTGACCTGCAGCTTCTCATGCGTGCTTAATTTGCAAGTCGAAAACCGAACGATAAAAGTCAATGTTACTTAACGATCCATAAACTTTGCGATAGTAATGTGGCAAACCGACAAACACATTTTCGTGTTATAATATTAGTAATTGTAATTTATTAATTAAGATTGACAATAAAATATTCTTGTGCATCACTCATCAGTCGAATCTATTTTACATATCAAACACGTGTCTTCTTTGTCGACCGTTGATATGTGATGACAAATAATAAAATTAGCCTTCTTTATGTTTATGACATGTATTACTAAAAATACTCTGGTCATCTAATATTTCCAACAATCATGATCAGTATTTTAATTAATCACAGGTAACCCTCCTATAATGCGGTAGATACGTCCCTACAAAGTCCCGTGTTGTGAGAAAGCGTGTTATATGAGATTAGAATCCAGTAAATACAAAAAGGAGAATTTTCTGAATGAAACATCTCGACTATGCCTGTATGTATTTTTTAACTAATATACTTAAAAAGTTAAGCGGACAATTTTCGGTTATATCCTTAAAATGTCTGTTTATAATATATTTTTTTCTCCTACCGACGCCGAAACTTCGGTTTTCCTCCCGCTGTACAGGAAAGAAATTGTAAATTTTTCTCCCTGGGTACAAGTGCGCATGCGCGTCTGCTCTCACGCACCTAAAATTCTCGGCCATTTTTGTGTTCGGTTAATTTGCAATATTGTGTTTAGTGTAAAAGTGAAATAAACAAAAGGCAATAAAATTTATGAGTTCATCAGACAGTTCTTAATCAATTAATAGTAGTTTATTTAAAAATTAATTGTTTTTTTTATGAGTATTTACGAACTTTCGGCCTGGTAGGAGAAAAAATAGTATATGCACCAAGAGAGAAAAGTTGGACATTTCCTCACGCGTGTAAAATTGCCACCCGAGCCGAATTGTACTATTCTAAATAATTTAAAAAAAATATCTCATTATCGTGTTATAAGAGGGTTTTCGAGAACTTTTCTTTTCGTGTTAAAAGTGGAACCGTGTTGTAAAATATCGTGTTATAGAAAGGATACCCGTATAGCATTAGACCGGCAATTAGTTTTATCATCGTTATGACTTTAAGAAGCGTTCAATCTTTGTCTTCGGTGTGCGTTAAGACCTTAATTTGACAAATTCATAGACTTCGTCGTGGTCGCTCAAAATTGTAGAACACGAAATAGAGCGAGACTATAACTGTCCGAATATTATTATATTATTAAGAGTTTCGTTATTGTTATTGAAAGCCTAGAATATAATTTGATCATGACTGATGTTAAAGGCAACCGATTCTTCAGAGTATATTTTGAACATAGACAGTTGGGAATATAAGAATAACGCTCTTTGGTAAGTGTAGTATTGCCAGTTAAAATATTTCGTTATTATCGCTTGTCATAAAACACATTATTTAACATGACGTAAACAGTTCGAGACGATCATCACACGAATTAACAATGGTCGCAGAAGATTTTGTGTCGAAAACATGCTTAATTAACTTGCTCTAAGATAACAACAGTGCTATATAAAACATTTTCTTGAAATACCGAAGTAAGCTACCAGAAGCTGTCTGAAGGTAACCACGTTGTGAGTTTTGAGCAGTTCATATTGCACCTAGAGTTGCGTGGTCTGTCAGAGCGGGGTGTCGCGGGGCGGGAGGCGCGGGGTGGGCGCCGGTGCGGGAAGCGGGCGGGGTAGCGTGCGCAGGTGCTGCAGCGGGATCACGGATCCCGCGCCCGCGCCCGATCCCGCCCCCGCGCCCCGCGGCAGCGTGCACGACCCGCTCGCGAACCGCGCGGGCGGCGGGATTCCCGACGTCGAGTTCTGTGATCACGCAAGAAACGAAAAATGAGTCTAGTGCGATATACAATACATCACACTTTTAAAATTATAGAGACCCATTTCGAAGTATTAGAATTTCGACGTTAATTCAAAAATTGACCTAGAACGAACCTTTTTAGCGACTGTTATTAATCAAATAACCAAAAGTAGCTTATAAAGGGACAAACATATCCATCGGTCTCTTTCACTCCGTCTGCCACCCTACGTCTTTACGGTTTGAAAACTTTATTCGATGTTTTCCAAAAAAGGCATTTTTTGGGTTGGGTCTCTATTATTCTAAAGGTACGACATTTATATACTAAGAAAAAAATAAAGAAGAAGATAATTTATAAACGAATACGCAGACAAGCATTTTGTTGTTGCGAGTCTATCTAAATAAAAATGCAATAATGAAATAGTTCGGTAGCTTTTGTCAAACATTTTTTTCTTTTCTGTTTATTCATAGAGTTATAATTTTTTTGCAGTTATTTTTCATGTCAACGTAGCGTGACGTAAGAAAAATTGACCTAAATCTGACATGTATTTGTGGTAAAATTTTGCTCAGTAGACAAGAGTGGTCACCGTTAAAAATCTCACGTTTTGTTCGTGCATCGGATGCGGAGGCGCCGTCCGTAGCGCGCAGTACGCAGGTAGCGCCCGCACGCCCGCCACGCTGCCGCGCGTACGCCCCAGCGGGGGGGAGATCGTCGACACTTGCTGCTGACGGTAGTAATCCATCTGGGAGTGAATGATCAGTTACAGAAGCTGTCTGTGGCTGAATAAAGTCGTCGTGGCCTAAAGGATAAGACATCCGGTGCATTCGTGTTGAGCGATGCACCGGTGTTCGAATCCCGCAGGCGGGTACCAATTTTTCTAATGAAATACGTACTCAACAAATGTTAACGATTGATTTCCACGGTTAAGGAATAAGATCGTGTAACAAAAATCAAATCCGCACAATTATAATTTGCGTAATTACTGGTGGTAGGACCTCTTGAGAGTCCGTATGGGTAGATACCATCGCCCTGCCTATTTCTGCCGTGAAGCAGTAATGCGTTTCGGTTTGAAAGGTGGCGCAGCCGTTGTAACTGTACTCGACACCTTAGAACTTATATATCAAGGTGGGTGGCGCATTTACGTTGTAGATGTATATGGATTCCAGTAACCACTTAACACTAAATGACGAAGGACTAAATGTCAACGCTTGACTGCTTCACAGCAGATATTGGCAAGATCAAGAAACCCAATCGAGTGGGCACACAATACATCCTACTATAATCAAATTAAAGCTAAACTTGTAAAAGCTTCTACATCTACGCAATGTTCTACAGCTGACGGGATCTGACCTGCATCTGATCTGTATCCGAGGGTATTATATCAGGGTTCCTGTCGTCGCTCTCACTGTCGTCCTTCTCTCTGAGTTTGTCCGGGGACGCCGGTTGCGATTGTGGAGCAGCAGACCTAGGCTTGCGTTTTGCGCAACGATGCTTCACGCCAATCATGAAGATCACCAGAATGACCATGATGATTCCGCCACCGCCCACAGCGGCGGACATCGCTCCTGACATTTGGAAGGCTGTTCTTGGTAGATCTAATGGCAATGAGAACTGATTTGGTTAAATATGTACACCGCTGTATGGCTTGGAGGAAATTTCCAAAATTGGTTAGTCGATTTCGGTGTGGCTTAAAAGGCCAGGTGCCCGAATTGTATCAAGTGATGCGACTATGTTAAATATTCGAATTTCACAAATGATACCAATTTTTGTTTGTGAGCACTTGTTTACAATTAATTTCCATGATAAACGAATAACATCGTGTAACAACAATTAGACAGAAGGCAACAGTCTGTCTGTGTCCCTGACAATGCTGACGGCTATGGATGACGGTAACCACTGACCATCAGGTGGCCCATATACTCGTCTGCCTAAAAGGGCAATTAAACAAACTCGCAAAAATTTTAACGTTTTCGGAATTACTGGTGGTAGGGCGACTTGTAATTTCGCCCAAATAGGCACCACCGTTTTGCCTATTCCTACTGGAATTAGTCAGCCGTTATACAGTATCCGATCATATCTGAAGGTGGCGGAATCCAAGTTGTGATATCCATGGATTTCGGAAATTCAATAGTTCGGAACGGTAAGCAGCGGCTTGGCTATGCCCCTAGTATTGCTGACGTCCATAAGCGACGGTAACCATTCACCATCAAGTGGGCGGGATGTTCGTCTGTCTACACGGGTAGCAAAAAAAAAAAAAACACCCAGCTTGAGCTTAAACACCCATAAACGTTACTGAGTTCCATTCTAATCTCTCTAGAACTTTAAAACTCTTTAATGGCCCCTAATACTTTAAAATAAAGTCTGAACTTTTAAAATAAATCTGAATTTATTTCTCGATCGAAATCGGATAGATATTTTGATTTTGGTTTCTAGGTATCTTGCTCTTATCTCGCGCGTGTTTCTGCATCCATAACATAGGAGAACTTCTGGTTTGGTGACTTAGAATCGAACGTTTATTTGTTCAAAAGCTTGTTGCTCAGGGTTGTCAGTTTTTCAAATCTCTATATATAAAAATGAATTGCTGTTTGTTAGTATCGCTAAAACTCGAGAACGGCTGGACCGATTTGGCTAATTTTAGTCTTGAATTATTTGTAAAAGTCCAGGGAAGGTTCAAAAGGTAGATAAATATGAAAATGCTTGGAATTAAATAAAAATAACAATTTTGTTTTTCTTTTGAAGTGTCCCCCATCGGACGCATTCCTTTTGTTTGTTTTTTTAAGTTTATTTTATACAAAAATTTAGGTCTTTTATTTATCGATTGAGGCACTACGAAGTCTGCCGGGTCAGCTAGTTATATAAATAAAACACATTTATCGAAACAGTATAATTTATGACCTTACCTAAACTTTTGTCATGCACGTGATGTTTTTCTGGCGGCCTCAGCGTGCTCGCTCGTAAAGGGTAAGGATCTCCCCTACCCTTAGCGTTATAAGCTAAAATAGCTGCGGCATATGTCCTGCCAGGCGCGAGACCGACTGCGGTAAAACGTGGTACTGCGCTTGAAACATTTGCGACGATTTCCTGTTAAAATCAAATATTTAATGCAATAAAAATTAATATAGGCCTTGACCTCTTATCAACAATGCCATTTTAGATATGATATAACGATATCGAGGGGTGGGATTTGGTTTAAGAGACATTTTTGCAACTCTACAGGAGAGCCGTTTGAAATTTAAAATTTTGGAAAAAATATCATGAATAAAAGAAATAACTTTTTTAGCTATTTCAATGGAGTAAACTTCATTAAAGTTTAATTAAATTACCGAATTATCAAATTATAATTAAAATTAACATCGAATTATTGACGCTAATACCAAATAAAACGGACCCTTAATTACAAAGATAAACGTTGCGTATTTAAGCGGAATGTCGCTCAAACCAAATGTCCTTTCAGCTCTAGATATAAATAAAATGAGGCAAATGTTGCGTAGTATGACACACACGTACGTTAGCCGACACATACACATACACACACACACACACACACACACATATATATTTTGAATCACAATTTGATGTTATAAAACAAGATCACTTCTAGTCGCTATACCCGAAATAATTTTCTGAGAAGGGTAAAAAATGCGGTAACGTAATTGAATGGAATTACCTGGGTAATGATTTCCCGGACTTCCAACAGGAAGGATTGCGGGAGGCCGCCGTTAAAGCCCTCCGAGCATCGAACCCCGAACGAGGTTAATGATGCGTTCACCACCGTGCAGTTGTGGACTTGGTCGGGTCGGCCTTTGGATGGATATATTTTTAGGTTTTTTATTAATCGGTGCTAGTTTAAAAAAAAAATAAGGATTTTTTTATAGGGATTTTATGACCTGGTAACTAAGTCATGTCTTATTTTAATTTATATTGTTATTTTTATGAAAAATGTTAATAAAATGGAGTGAAATGAAATGAAATGAAGATGATATGAGATGAAATATAATCTGAGTAAAATGGTGGTAATTTACTGAGATTTTTTCAGTGAACTTTTTTGGAGGAACCCGAGAAGTTACGTCCCTCGGCTTTGTTCCATTTTCCCACATTTGTGCACTTTCACAGATATTAAACAGTTAATAAGTCACCGTTATTACACATTTAAACCTGAAGAAACACTAAATAGACAAAATAAACAAATCACAAAACTTCACTCATCGCGTTCCCGCCAAAAAGTCTAATAAGGAATTCGATTTGTTTCGCAGATTATACACACAGCTTTTTATAGCCTCTACGGTGTAGAGCTTACGAACTACTTTGTGCTAAACATTTACCGGTGACCAAAGACATAATCACAGCGTGAATGTCGCCACCCGTCTTAAGACGTGAGGTCTGAGCCTCAATTTTATAGTATAAGAGCTATCCTAACCTATAACCGGAACGTATCCCTGCTTTGCGTATTACGGCTAAAATAGGAAGGGTGATGGTACCCGTTCTGGCTATAAAAAGCCCTGCTATTAATAATTAGGAAAATATTAGCTTCATCTTTTTTTTTATTGCTTAGATGGGTGGACGAGCTCACAGCCCACCTGGTGTTAAGTGGTTACTGGAGCCCATAGACATTCACAACGTAAATGCGCCACCCACCTTGAGATATAAGTTCTAAGGTCTCAAGTATAGTTACAACGGCTGCCCCACCCTTCAAACCGAAACGCATTACTGCTTCACGGCAGAAATAGGCGGGGTGGTGGTATCCACCCGCGCGATTACACGATTATCACACGATTTCGTCCCTTCATCGTGGAAATCGTTTGTCTTATAAAAAGCTTTATATGTACGCTCGGGACAAATAACAAGTCGGTTTGTGGAAGTGATGTTATATGTAATTTACTTTTAGTTTGATAATAATAATTTAATAAAAAATTTAAATCTATATATTAGTACGTGAAGCAAGAATTTTGTACCCCTTCGTAAGAAAATTGCGCTGACAGAGGAGAATGAAATTTCGCACATTTATAGAGAATATAGATAAGGAGTGCAGAATGTTAATATTTTTTTTAAAATTATGCATTAAAAATAAATTACATCAATAAAACATTACATTATTACCATGTATTTGACACACACACGCATGTATACTATTTGTTTATTGTCAAACTTTTCTTATTGCTTATAGTGTATGATCAAATTGAGGATATAAGTATTGTTTGTCTTTATTAATATTTTTGTCTCAAGTGTAGTCTTGGCGAAATCTGTGATTATAGAAGTAAGTACCTATAATAGTCTTTGACAATAGAATCCTAAGTGTACAAACTTATACTTTCACTTAATTTTATAGTCGAATTTCGACTACTGGGGGACCACTATTGTTATAAAAAAGGTGCCAAAGTTGTGAGCGAGTGAAAAATGCACAGATAATATTTTATAAAAAAAATGAGCATATACGTTTCCTTGAACGCTGTGTGGATATTTTAAACTTTATATACTATATTGAGTGTTTTATCAGATATTGTCACCCATAGACACAGCCCACTGAGTTTCTCGCCGGATCTTCTCAGTGGGTCGCGTTTCCGATCCGGTGGTAGATTCTGCGAAGCACGGCTCTTGCTAAGGCCAGTGTTAGCAACATTCCGGTTTGAGCTCGAGAGCTCACCCACACGTTAAGGTGAAGCTGAAATAGCCTCTCAAGGCTATCAGCATAGGTCAAAAAGAAAAAAGAAATTGTCAGCACGACTCAATTGATTCCTACTATTGATTGAACAAAATGATGTTTTGTTATTATTCTTTAATTCCTCTTAGCATGCACGAAACTCACCGGCAGCAATGATATGGTAGACGCAGGGCACTCGTTGCTTCCCGATCCTGTTGTGGGCCCAGCAAAGCAGGGTCCCGTAGTCCATTTCGGTGTGAGGAGTATAGGTCACGGTGGAGCTGGTACCCGCGCGGGACACGTAGGAGTCGCTGACCTCGTTGCTGTTGGCTGTGTTGTTGAAGGTCCACCGGAACTGATGGTGGAAAGATAGTTTTATTTTTATTTTTATTTAATGTTTATTACTGGTGGTACGACCTCATGTGAGTCCGCACGGGTAGGTACCACCACCCTGCCTATCTCTGCCGTAAGTGAAGCAGTAATGCGTTTCGGTTTGAAGGGTAGGGCAGCCGTTGTAACTATACTTGAGACCTTAGAACATATATCTCAAGGTGGGTGGCGCACTTGCGTTGTAGATGTCTATGGGCTCCAGTAACCACTTAACACCAGGTGGGCTGTGAGCTCGTCCACGAACGAACACGAAGCAATAAAAAATAAATAAAAAAAATTATTTATGTACACACAAAAAAGAAGACATAGTACAGAGTAATAGGAAAATTATGTACAAAGGCACTGCTTATTTCTTTAAGAAATCTCTTCCCGCAGACCTGCGAGAGGATTATGAGAATAATAATTAAAAGTGATGACTGTGCAGAACAGCTAAAATAACAGATACAATATGAGAATTATAGTAATGCACATACACATAGCAAATATTGTTAAACTTGAATACAAAATAGTTTTCTTTGTTGTCTATTTCAGTGTCGTCGTAGGCCATCGATATCGGAACGTCTCAGCTGTTACCCATTTTGAGATATAATTGAAGTGACAATTTGAGTTCCATTATCCACAACCCTAACTTTGAATTTTCTTCTGTGTTATCGGTGTCAGAAATACACTCAAATCCTTCAGTTTTCGACCAGGAATCGTATAGTAGAGTTATGAACCACATGGCTAACGAGGAAATCGAATAGCAAACTAATATTATTATTTTTTGCTTAGACGGGTGACCGAGCTCACAGCCCACCTGGTGTTAAGTGGTTACTGGAGCTCATAGACATCCACAACGTAAATGTGTGACCCACTTTGAGATATAAGTTATAAGGTCTCAAGTATAGTTACAACGACTGCCTCACCCTTCAAACCGAAACGCATTACTGCTTCACGGCAGAAATAGACAGGGTGGTGATACCTACCCGTGCGGCCTCACAACAAGTCCTACCACCAGTAATTACGCAAATTATAATTTTACGTGTTTGATTTTTATTACATGATGTTATTCCTTCACCGTGGAAGTCAATCGTGAACATTTGTTGAGTACGTATTTCATTAGAAAAACTGGTACCCGCCTGCGGGATTCGAACACCGATGCATCGCTCAACACGAATGCACCGGACGTCTTATCCTTTAGGCCACGACGACTTCATATATGTTTGCATGTTTTCTTTCTACGGCCGTGCAAGGCTTTCATAAAGCTATGTTCGTACATATTTATAATGATACGGTAGGTTACTTGCGTATTCCATTGTATATATAGATTCCATATAATATATTATGTGATAAAATATATATGTCATAAAATTTTGAAATTTCTTCTTGGAATGCAAACAGCAACTCTGACAAAACAATTAATATTATCACGTATAATTTCATTAGTATTTCTATTAATTATTCAAACTAATTATAGTTCATATGTATGGGTGGGCAAAAATCAATTTCGTTTCTCGAGAAAGTAAAATAAATTCGTTACATTCGTTAAGCCGACGTCTTACGCAAACCAAATTCCATTTTTATAATCAACCTTCATTATTTATTCAAACGACCTTATCTAAATACCCAAGACTTAAATCGTTTTGTTGAGTTATTCGAATTTTATAGAAAAAAACTTTTCTCTTTCCATTTATTTAGTATTGTAATTGACAGAGACAAAAGACGACCTTTTTTTTAAAGGTCACGCTCAAGATACGTGCACGTGCCTCTAGCAAAGTAAATAGAAAGATTGATCTCAGCGTTTTGACTGTTCTCTAGGCAAAATCAAAATTAAGTTTTAAATTGGTTCACTGAACAGCATTGATATCCCAGCGCAATGGTTATCACTTATCGTGAGATGGATCGTATCCTCTTATACCAATCTTTACTGGTGGTAGGACCTCTTGTGAGTGCGCACGGGTAGGTAACACCACCCGGCCTATTTCTGCCGTGAAGCAGTAAAGCGTTTCGGTTTGAAGGGTGGGGCAGCCGTTGTAGCTATACTGAGACCTTCCCAAGGTGGGTGGCGCATTTACGTTGTAGATGTCTGTGGGCTCCAGTAACCACTTAACACCAGGTCGGATGTGAGCTCGTCTACCCATCTAGGCAATAAAAAATGGGTATCTTCCAAAACAAAGATCCGGCTACTGCATATTGATCACCAAATGATATGTGTTTCCGGAATCCATCACATGTATCCTGAAGGATGAACATTCAGGTATTCTTACCATCCTACCTAGTCCTGCCTAGATTCCTGGCTTAAGCAGTTGAGACAGCCTAAAGTATAGCTAGAGTTTCTGTCACTTGTCCTGCTGAATTGCATACAGCTGACACTTTTATCCCATGTGTTGAGGTGGGTTGTGGTATTCGCGTTCCTAATGAGCTTCGGAAATCGCCTGATATCTAGAAGACACTCAGTCTTGAGATGTATGCGTTTTAATTGTACTTTGTAACGATTGTCTTATTCTTCAGAAAACTGGACTGCTTCGCAACAGAAATGAGCGGAATAGTGGTACCTATCCGTGCGGGCTTACTATACGCCTTATCGTCAGTCTAAAAATCTATCACCACTTATTTGTATTGTAAGAGAGCTCGTAAATATTAAAAAGCATATTTTTATGGACGTGCCGGTCACATATCCTCAAAATTGAAAGCATTCTACAGGGGTCAGTTACATCGTGAAATAAAATTGCAAAGGATATTGTCTATTTCTTCAACTTTGATAAAAGATACGGGCGGATTCACAACAGCCTCTTAAACAAAAGCCTTCAATCATTATTCAAGATGAAATCAAAGAGTTTTGTACTATGAATTTGAATATTTGCTGTGGAAGAACTTTATTTTGGTTGTGTTCGAAGATACTTATCGATTAAAATCAATAATCCTAACGGCATAGCTGAGCCATCAATGCGTTAGATTGTATAGAGTCAAACTGTACAATCAATCATTTTATGTAATAACTAGCTTTTGCCCGCGACTTCGTCCGCGTGAAATAGTTCACAAATAATGCTTTATTTTAGAACAAATTTGGTTAGCATAAAAAAGGTTATGGTGAGCCAACCTTAACATATATACATATGCTGTCGCTGACTTTTTTTTAGATCTTTTAAAGGAAAACAATTCTGTCATACATTATTTTCGTAAAACTTTAACTGTTTCTACAGCGCACGCAGCGGAAGCTCTCAACAGGGAAAAAAACCCGATTTTAAAACATTCTCTACTGGTGCTCCGCTTGTATTGGTTTTAGCGTGATGTTATATATCCTATAACCTTCCTCAATAAATGGCTATCTAACACTAAAATAATTTTTCAAATCGGACCAGTAGTTCCTGAGATTAGCACGTTCAACCAAACAAACTCCTCAGCTTTATAATATTAGTATAGATAATGCTAAATGTTGGTAGATTTAATGTACATGGTATAAATAACTTACAGTGACTTCAGGTGGGTTCGCATCGACGTGACAGGTTATGTGGGCACGTTCTTGCTTCGCAACTCCATGAACCCTTTGCTGTGAGCTTCGGCAGGTCGGCGCATCTGTATTTATATATATAATATGTAATAGACTTACTGGTGGTAGGACCTCTTGTGAGTCCCTGCTTATTTCTGTAGTAAAACAGTAATGCGTTTCGGTTTGAAGGGTGGGGCAGCCGTTGTAACTATACTTGAGACCTTGGAACTAATATCTCAAAGCGGGTGGCGCATTTACATCGTAGATGTCTATGGGCTCCAGTAACCACTTAACACCAGGTGGGCTGTGAGTACATCCACCCATCTAAGCAAGAAAAAAAAACACGAAGACAATGGCTATATTTAAAAATAAAAATAAGTCTTTTTTGTAAACATAGTATGTACCCGCGAGAGCTTATCTTATAAACCACTATCATAAAAAGTCTGATATCTGATTATCTTGCCACAAAAACTGTTAGTGCAATTTTGAATAGCATTTGCAGCTACATAGATCTCTTTGAAAATTTTAGCTTCTTTTTTTCATTGCCCTTGTAGGCAGACGAGCATACGGCCCACCTGATGGTGAGTGGTTACCGTCGTCCATAGACTTCAGCAATGCCAGGAGCAAAGCCAAGCCGCCGCCTACCACTTAATACTCTCCACAAGCCTCTTTTAAGGAAGGACATGTCATAGCGCTCTGGAAACACCGCGGAGGAGAGCTCTTGTGAAACTTAAATGCCTCAAATAAATTGGTTACACAAACTCACATAACACATCCAATGAGAACGGCTTGCTTTCTCCATCTCCTTCAGCATTGAAGCCGACGCAGGTGTAGTTGCCAGCTGTACGTCTTCCCACACCTTGGAGAACCAGGGATTGATTGCTGATGATGATTCCGTGACCTACGTTGTGGACCAGTGGCTTTCCCTGGTATAAATGTTTAAAATTTAAATTAAGTTGATTCACTGCCGTTTCATTAAGGATACTTCACTTCCTACTTCTATTTTAGAATGCCGACACCGATTTTAATCATTTACCACAAATTAGCTATTAACTACTAATTGTTGTGGTATGTGGAATATCATGATTAATATGTAAAGGTTACATAAATTCTCGTAAGTTAATTAGTTAAGATCATGTTCATCAGGAATCCAGAGCAATAACCACACATGAGTAACAGACCTTAAAAAAAATATTTGTCGGTTGACGTTTGTAATCTAACGCCTCTTGTCGTGAAGGTAAAAACCCAACTGCCAGACTCGAACATACTCTTAGTTTGGTCTGTGTGAAGTAAAATTAAAAAAAAAAAATACTTTTATGGTTTAATCTAGCCTTTTTATTTTCATTATACATATTATAACCGATATTGACTTATCTAACTACACTTAACAAAACAATAACTTTATAAAACACGCGAGGTTAAATCGTAAAAGTGGTGTTAATTATTAGCGGTCACTACCGCAATTGGATGTTACTCAATAGTAAAATATCCTAAAACGTCGAAGAATAATTTTATTTTAGATGTTTTAGATACGTAAAATTTTAGCGGTAGGTTGTGGCTTTACTGTGTCCCTGGCATTATTGACGTTCACAAGCGACGGTAACCATTCACCACCGGGTGGACCGTATGGTCGTCTTACTATAAGGGCAAAGAAAACAATAAGAACACCTTAATCATGCGCGAACGCGAAAGCTGTAAAGTATTTGAAACGACAGAAATAATAAAAATAAATAAAAATACGACCACAAACCTTAAATGTAGTTCTAATTATGACTTGCAAAGAATTAGCTAACTGAAATTTTGATTTGCCCTAATTTTTTTGTAATATCGCTGACAGGGCCTCAGATGACCTCTTTAGACGGGTTGAAATGACATTGCAAAAATTAAAACGGGCCTTTAGAATAAAACTGATTCATAAAGACATCCAAGGCTAATAAACTGTGAGCAACATACTTACATTGTGTCTCCATTCCACTTTGTAGACATAAGGGTGTGCGTTGATAACGCAATCGAAATAGACGTCAGATCCTTCTCGAATGTTCTTGGGATCTAAATTTGTGCCTAACCGGACTACTGTTTCGGGAACATCTGCGTAATAGAAAATGAGCTCCATTCACTTCTTCATAAATGTTTTATTTCAAGTGAGATTGTTGTAAGTGTAGATTTAATTTTTTTGTTATAAATTGCCTATAAACTATGTAAAGTTTATTAATGAAAAATAGATTATTAAATTTATTCTTATATCATTGTTGATTGATTGATTATTCTAGATACCTTCTTCTAGATTTTTTGTCACTGAAGCTACTTAGTTGTAGTTGTTAACGAATGTTTAATTTTAAAAGATTTTTATACTATAAAAAAATGCGATAAGCAAACATTATAAGACTAGATAATTTATTGTGACTAGAAAGGACGGGAAAACATTACTGGAAGATACCATGTCAACCTTTAAGATGTATGGTTTTTTCGTTGATTTTCAAAATTTCTCTTGTGAGTCATCTGATTCATGTGAAAATTTACATAATTACTGCTGTGACCTTGGACTCAAATAATAATCGAATTTGTTATAGACTATATCGTGAAGACAATCTTGAAGGATGGTGTGGTAAGCTAAATCAGCGGCTCAAAGCCAGTAGTAGTATTTTTTAAATTAATAGTCAAATGGATAATTAAGTTAGATAGCTTACACTGTATATCCAACATCCAGTCATCTTCCAATGGTGGAACAGAAGGCATTTGGGGATTGGAAGCCCTGCAGGCTAACTTGGCTCCGGCATCTGCTTTCGTCAGCTGCAAGGACACTGTAGAAGTAGTCGTGTTGCCATCCGTTGACAGCTAATTGCAAATAATTAATTAGCTTCTTTAGTTGGTAAGAAATAATAAATAATAAATAAATATTTACTAACAATCACGCCACGCTAACTGGTCCCGTGATAAGTTCGTAAAGAACTTGTGTTACAGGTACCAGATAACGGAAATAAACGTAAGATTTTTATTATACACATACATATATTTAATATACATCCATAACCCTGGAATAGACATTTATATTTATCATACAAATATCTTCCCTTGGCGGGATTCGAACCCGCGACCCCCTTGTGTAGTGACCATGTCACTTACCACTACACCAGACGGCCGTTAAATAAATAAGAAACATCAAAATCTTACTCTTTATTTAATACTTAATTAGTATTCCGTTTTTTTTTTTGGCTGACATATTTTAAGTATCATACGAAAACATCAGTCAGTAGCCCAATTGTTGGAAACATAGGCCTGTTCCTAAATAGTGTATTTTTTTTTTGTATTCTATGTAGTACTAATTTAAAAGATATTGTAAATGTTGTATCAGCCCTAAGTTTCTTGCAAATTCTCATAAGTGGTGAGACTGCATTTCGAATCGGTTTTAGTCTATTTAAAAGCATTAGTACTGTCTTTACAGGAATCCACACGTAGTCTAGATATATTTCAATAAAAAATCGCATTTGTATTACAAAATATACTCATTAGGGTTTTAAATATTGTGCGCAATAATGTCGTAGCAATGAACTAAAAATTGGTCCAAGTCCAGTAACAACAGAAATCATAAAAATTATGATCAATCATTTAAAAGTCGGTGAAGAAGGTGGATTCGTATCGAGCGATGCAACTGTGTGGGTGTTCGAATCCCGGGTACAAATTTTTCTAAAATTATTTAAAATTATGTTTAAAAAATTATAATTAGCGTAATTACTGGTGGTAGGACAACTTATTAGTTCGCACGGGTAGCTACCATCATCTTGCCTATTTCTAACGCGAAACAGTAATGCGTTAGATATCTATGGATTCCGGCAATCACTTAACACCAGGTGGACCGTGACCTCATCTAACCATCTAAACATTTCTGTTCCTGAATTCTGAACATTTTGATGATAATAAAACTATTGATTGTAGTTTTAATGTTATATTGATTGGGTGGACAAGCTAATGCTTCACTTAGTATTAAATATTTATCTAAATCAATTGATATCTCAGCGTAAATAGATCTATGAATGATCAATGGTATGAAGTCACATTCTCAATTGTATTATGGCCCTTTTCGAACCCGTGTGACTCAAACGCGGCAAAAATAAAAGGAAAACAATTTCTGATAGTTTATTACGTAATTTTTTATTGAGCTTCAGCTATTTAGGATCGCCAAACACATTCTATCAATTGAAGAGAACATTACTGTGATATAGTGAGTTGATTCGTCACCGGTCCATTCCATGAGCTTGTAGCGTTTTATTTACGGATTCTAAATCAATCCGGCTGGTAAACTAAAACAGAAGCTAATCACTATTTCAAGATGAGTTAAAAAAAACATTGTCATAGTTTGAAAACAAATCCCCAGGCTTGTTCTTTGAAGTAAGACGAATCGACACGATGAGACCAGTTAAGACTTCTACAAAGCACTTACTTCAACTAGTATTTTCTCACCATTCATCTTATGTACATGGTAGTACTATCCCTTAAATTAATATTTACAATAAATAAAACTTAGGATAGGTAAGTTTTTAATATTGAAATAATAGTTTCATAGGTAAATGTGAGAGATAAGGCAATTATAACATATATTTACTATTAAAATGTCTGCCTGTAGATCTATTTTTGTCAATCTCCGAAAGGACTGGATCGATTTTCGCGGGACTTTTACAAAAAAATAGCTGCTTTTGTAATCTCTATATATAAAAATGAATTGCTGTTCGTTAGTCTCGCTAAAACTCGAGACCGGCTGAACCGATTTGGCTAATTTTGGTCTTGAATTATTCGTGGAAGTCCAGAGAAGGTTTAAAAAGTAGATAAATATGAAAATGCTCGGAATTCAATAAAAATAACGATTTTGTTTTCCCTTTGATGTGTCCTCCGTCACACGTATTCCTTTTGTTTGTTTTAAGTTTATTTTATTATACAGAAGTTTAGGTCTTTTATTTATTGATTGAGACACTACGAAGTCTGCTGGGTCAGCTAGTGAGTAATAAACCCATTTCTATTATAAAAAGGCCTGAAACAATAAAGGAAGAGAAATGGATAGAAGTAAAAGGAAGACTCATAAAATTCAAATAGAGAAATATTATAGCCAGGCTTAGCCAGTTCGATACATAACCCCAGCCTCAATGCTCGTTTTAAGTAAATAATTGTGGTGTGCAGCGTTATGTGATCTTTCATCCTTTGAAGTAACCAATACTTTAACATTCAAAGAACATCGAAGGGATAATAGACAAAATTATATAGAGAGAATCGTAGAGCGGAAACAGAACAATTATAGAATTGTTTTCAGATAAAATATACAGAAATTAGGACATGCCTTCTATGTTAAAATCTGTAATCAATTTTTAGTTATTGCGTTGTGGTTATGTAGAAATTAAATTGTCAATAACGACGAATTTCAATCGATCGATAACCAAATACACTGAGTTACAAAACAATGAGAAATTAAGCTAGAGGGAAAGAAATCAAATACATGACAACTGAAATATTTACTTCTACGATTTTATTGGGAATTACCTTTGTTAAGAATTTGGTGTTTCTGAAAATGTACTCTACGAAAAACAGAAAGGTAGAGAGTCAAAAATCGAAAAAACAAATCAGAGAAGAACAAATTCATCACATTTATATCAAGTAAATAAAACAGCGTATGCGGCCACGTTTATCCCTAACAATCCGAGCTGACAAAGCCCAGCGGAATGTTAATCAGATCAAAGTGGGACCCGAATTCAAAACAGGTAAATAATAAATCAACTAGTCAAAACGGCTCGGGTACCGGATTGATTTTAATTATGTCTTGTTAATATTAATGTATGGTCGGGGAGGGTATGGAGTTTAATTAAATTACGTTCTACGATCGAACTGTCGACCGGATTACGTGCTATAACGTAGATTAGTGGCCTTGATTGACGTGAGCTGTTGTGACGATACTGGCTTGTAATTAGTGATAGTCGATATGTTATGGATGCTTCAAGTTCTATTAAATCTATATTCGTATGGTACGTAATTATGTTATCTAACATTAAAGTTGTTGATTCAAGAAAATTGAGAATCGGTGTTGTGAAGTTCACACTGTTCGAATCGAAAGCTTCTATTTAATTCAACAAAATAAAAAGGTTATTAAACAAATTTTTTTATGTGAAACATCTACAGCCGCACGTAAAACCGATTTCTGGCGTGGCGACGCATGCCGTGGCGACGCGTCGCCATGTGCAATCGACTGTTCGATTCTCTCCCACTCGATCCGGTGCTAAGCCATCTCTCTCGCTACACTGAGCTCGGATACCTATAGTGTATACTCCGTAGTGTATACAGTGTTGTTTACTACAGTACACATAACCTGTGTTTTACTTGAAAACGAATTATTTTTAATATAATATTATATTTTATTTTATCATTGTGACATATTTAGTTCCTATCACAATCTGTTCTTTTCTGCATATTACTTTTACAAAATAATGTCGATGTTTCACATCTGCCAGGCGTCCCGTGACGGCTCACATTTTTATTTTATTACGATGTAATGTATCCGTCAATTAGAAATTGGTTTCAGTAGAAGTAAAATGAAAATATGAACAAAAATCGCAATCACGGACTTACTTACGGAATCACTCACTAATGAAACTCGATTATTATATTTCAAAACATTCATCAACTGCCCAAGAGTCGGCAACAAAGAACTTGAATCGTTCACGTCCGTCAAAGCAATAATACCGAAATTAAAACAATAAGCATCATAATGAGCCGAGCCTGGAGTGTCCTCTCCAGCTTAATTGAGTCTCTTTTCACTTGCGACAAACAGGAGCTCAGACAGGGACTCCCTTACGACCGCTTTGAGTGGGCTCCAGCGCAGAGCCTGTCCCATCCAATCTACATTTATTACTTTTACGTGCCTTTATTTTAAGTTTCAGTCCGGGATGTTGTTTCTTATGGTGATAAAGATTGAATAGGCTATAAATTTTGAAATGGTGAATTGGCTTTTAGATAGCTACGCTCCAAGTAGTACCTAACTTAGGTCGACAAGCGCTTGGTTCGAACGAAAACAGCGTGATAGAGTTGATAAAGTTTTGAGTTGTGTTTGTTTACAAATATTAGTTTCAAATCTCAAAGTGAACTTAATACTCAGTAATTTGTCCAATACGGTAGTATTAGTGTTAGTTGCTTGTTCATATGTAATTTTTGAGAGCAATTATTCTTTTCAATTATTCAGTAGGGAAATGGACAACATGACAACATGATTTTGCAAATCGTACAATTTTTTTTTTTATTACTTAGATGGGTGAACGAGCTCACAGTCCACCTGGTGTTAAGTGGTTACTGGAGCCCATAGACATCCACAACGTAAATGCCCCACCCACCTTAAGATATAAGTTCTAAGGTCTCAAGTATAGTTACAACGGCTGCCCCACCCTTCAAACCGAAACGCATTACTGCTTCACGGCAGAAATAGGCAGGGTGGTGGTACCCACCCGCGCGGACTCACAAGAGGTCCTACCACCAGTAATTACGCAAATTAGAATTTCATTTTTATTACACGATGTTATTCCTTCATCGTGGAAGTCAATCGTGAACATTTGTTGAGTACATATTTCATTAGAAAAATTGGTACCCGCCTGAGATTCGAACACCGATGCATCGCTCAACACGAATGCACCGGACGTCTTATCCCTTAGGCCACGACGACTTCGAAATACTACTACAAAACAATTACATATGACGTCACTACATTTCAAAATGAATAACGTCGTTATTATTCGCTTCTTTCACTTTCACTTACCGTTTCTTTGGCGTTGTTGATTCTTTGTCCGTTTTTCCACCAGGTAATAGAGGCGGGTGGCCTGGATCCTGAACTTTGACAAAGCAGGTCATATCTTCTGCTCGCCGAGAGCGGTTGATTGGAGCCCAGTATGTGGACTGTTAGTGGAGGAACTGAAATATATTGTTCATGTTAGATTTTTTATTTGTATAAACTAATAGCTGTATTTACATTATCCGCAGGTTATTACAGGTTCTTTTCCTTGATCAAGATTGTAGATTTTAGGTTTCTGAGTCATGTTCTAACGTTGCATGCAATTTTTTGAAGGAATTACGACTTATGTACTATAATGTTTTCTAAGTAGGTGCTATCATCCTGGACATGTTTATTATGAAGGAATCGTAGCATTTCCATTTGAAGAGTAAGTTAGATATCGATATAAGATAATTACGATTTCAATATTAGTCTCAAGGTGGGTCGTGGCTTTATCTTACAGTGTGTAGGCTTAGTAACGAGATAAGCCGGGAGATCTTAAGCACATCTATGCAAAAAATATGGATGCCGGTCTTCATGGGTAGGTTTTTATAAAAAACATTGATTTTATTGACTGTCTTTAAGCTCTGTACTTACAATTCATATCTAAAGTGAGAGTTGTTTCAACAGGATGCGCTCTTGGATGATTGGACGCGCGGCAGGTGAATGCTGCTCTTACATCTGCTCTCGTAAGTGGTCCTACCCTGAGAACTCCTCGAACTCCATTCCCTGATAGCGGAGAAGCTGGTGTGTCGGTTTCTACCTCGTCTCTGTACCACTTCACCCACGGTCGAGGTCGTGCTAAGGAAATAATAAATACAGTTCTACAAATACGTAAACACGTCATTTCGGATCCTCCCGATCCACTAACGGTGCTTTTAGGTACCCCAAGTACAGGTCATCGTTCTCGTCGAACCCGTCGCTAGGGCTCGGCGAGTAAATTAACCCACTAACACAGCCCACTGAGTTTTTCGCCGGATCTTCTCAGGTGGTAGATTCTGCGAAGCACGGCTCTTGCCAGGGTTCGTGTTAGCAACAACATCAGGTTTGAACCCCGCGAGCTCACCTACCAGTTCAGTGAATCTAGAATAACTCCTCGAGGATACTAGAATAGGGGAAAAAATACGTATAAAGATACGTATAGGATAAAAATATTAAATTTCCTGTATAGGCAGTATTTGCAAATAGGTACATGATCTTGATTACCACCGCACCCATACCATAATACAAAGAAAGTCCTGATATCATTTCTCTGTCGTATTATGAAATCGAGCAGTCAATTGAAGGGTCTTGCATGGTAACAATCTACCCGGCTATAAATTCATACATAGTGGGTGTGAGATTCAGGTCTCCTAAAACTCCTATTTTATCGTATCCTTACTGTTAGGTATTTTAGTACACTTCATGTAATCTCGTTGGGACGCACAGATTACTTTTGTTCGCTACGGCTTAGTCTTGGCTTAATCTAATTGGCTGGTATTGTATAATAATATCAATGAAGATTTTTTTATGACTGTTGATTATCTAACTCTTACATTACAAAACAACAACGTAGTGAAGGCATAATAAATGTGTATGCTCGCGGAGGCTTTACAACTAACTTTCAACGACTCAAAAACCAATTGAAATAAGCCATAATCCGTCTGAGTGCTGAGGCTTAACTGAACCGTATTGTCTGTAAATAGTAGCCAAATTAGAGGCTTTTTTAATGCTTTTTAATACATGGGGTATAAGAGGTTACAATGAAAATGCTGGCATTGACCTTCAGATGTGCAGTCGAAGTTTGTGTCGGATAACAATTGGCTCTACAAATCGCGAAGTGTGGTATTACACACGCATGCGGAGACACAATAGAGTCTGTTTTCATATGTGTTCATATATACACATACGCTACACATTTCTAGTGGACTAAATTCAATCATAAATGTATTAATTATTTATGTTTATTTCTAAATTGTAAATTATGTATATAGTTAAGGGAAGTACAGAGTCATTACACACACAAGTATCTATTAATAATATTGTAATAGTAATAAATATGTAGTATTTTTTTTTGTATTACTATGCACATGAAAAGGTGCTCTGTGTGAATGTTTGGAGGTATATATTAGATCTTCAGATAAAATATAGTTGTCTTGTATAATAAAGATTGGCTATGGTAAACAATTGAGGAAGAGGTAGGTATGCACTTCATGGTAGCTATTTTTATTTATTGTTCAAACGAGTGAAAGATCTCACAGATCATGTGGTCTTAAGTTGTTGTCGTAGTTCATAGATATTATAACCAAAGTGCTGCCACCCAGCTTGGGACATGAGCTGCACGTCTAAATTGTATAGTATAAATACCCTTTAATCCGGAACCCATAACGCTTCGCAGCAGAAATAGGTAGGCTGGTGGTAACTATCAGAGCGGGCTCATGGTATGCTCAAAATACAGTATATAGAACAGGCCTGTTATACTGAGACCTTAAAAATAGAACTCGTATCTGAAGGTGGGTGGGGGCATTTCCGTTGTAATGTCTATGGGCTCCGGTAACCACTTAACACCAGGTGGGCTTGGAGCGCGTCCATCCATATATGCAATAAAAAAAAGAGAATAAGATTCGCTGAATGAAAATCACATAGCCTAATTGGCAGAGCTATAAAGAGAAGGATAAAAGATAATTTTTTATGAAGAGTGCCTGACTGAGAAAAAATCTATAAGTAAATTATTAGATCAGGGGAATATAAAAAAAAAATACCAACCATTTAGCCAATATCTTGTAAATCGCACGTACGACAATTTAGTTTAGAGTACAATAACAGAATGTAGCGTAATTATAATTAGGTTCGTAGCACGTTTGATGATCTTTGATCCAACGAAAATTTCGAAATATCCCATAAATTCTGCCGTATCTATAAAATTAATTAATAGCTCCTCACGATGCTTAATTTCCTTCTCTCCATTATGAATTTAAAACAGGGAAGGGATCCGAAGGGAGCCTTTTATTGGACAATTACTATGTCAATTCGAAAAGTTAGAAATATTTAATTTTGATACGAGAAAAGGGTTTGACTTCTTAATCGTTTTTATTTACGGATAATTTAATTTTACATCTTTGGTTATCCTATTTAAATGTTCAGAATGGAATCAATCAAATTCTATCCCACTATTGTTATCTATATCTTTGTCTTAAGTCGTGTCGACTAACATATGAAACGCCTCTACTACTGCCACTACTGCTAACTCAGACTAACCAAAACACCGGTCACTTTTCCATCGAAAATGATTGCTACTGAAAAACTGGATTTAGGCCATAAGAAGTACCTACAATGACATATTATCGTAATGTAATTAGCATAAAAATACAGTTCGTACAATAATAGCCACCCCATTTATCATTAAAATATTATAATGGCGAATATGGATATGAGATGTTAATGTATTAAATACTAAATTAATAATATTAGATAATAAATAATAAAAATAATAATTTAATAACTAAAATATACTATTAAAAGAAGTCCCTTTAGGCAAGGTTCCGAAGAAATTACGACATTCAGGTGATTTTTGAACGGGATTTTGTATTGTTTTTGGATTCAATATCTGTTTATTAATTTAATATTTGGATTTCGCCTATTTGTGTCGCGGAGCACTCATGCGTTACGGGTTAAAAGTGAGACAGCGATAATATTTGCAAATTAAGACTTTGTTCTCCCGTCTTGAGAATGGTGGTAAAGTTCACATGTCGATGAGTTCCGGATTGTAAGCACTGATCGTAGAAGGCAATAGAAAGACTTACTCTTCGATTTACGTACCTCCGGTGACGTCACATGTAAGTGAAAACGTATCTCCTTCGATGTATGGTCCCACAATAGCCTGCTTAATATCACCTTTGTCGTCCGTGATTACCATTTTAGTAGGAGGCACTGTAACAAAGTAATATTTTAAGTGTTTCTTAGTATTCCTCTTCCGTAAAACGTCAGGAGAGTTTGAAGACTTTAATAATTAGGCGGACGTTTTACAATATAATTGTGATTGGATCCATAAAATGGAGTAAAATTAGAAATGGTCCCTTGGTGAAATGGAACCGAACCCTTGATTTTAAATTTAAACCACTTATATAGAAATTTCACATATCTTAATATTTTTTTCAGGAACTGAAGAAGTTCATACTGAAAGCATCTGATATAAAATTCATTCTCACAATCTGAAACACAATGTCTGAAAACCTTTACCTTCTGAAATAAATCGAAATACGTTTGAAAAAAACAGACCCCTCGTTAATCCCGTAATGCGATTGGAGGGTGGAAGATCTATGCCTTTCAAAACGATCGAAAAAATATTAATTATATTTTTTGAATCGGAGTCCATTGTTTCTTTTGTCCAATCTATACTGGCTAATGCTTATTTTAGCTTTCCTCTGGCACAAGGTCGATTCCAATCCAACTGGCCAACTGAGCATTATGACAGTCACTGTTTGAATATTATCAAAACTTACATAATATTGTCGCTGTCAAACCAAAATCTGCTATGTGCAATTTTTGAGATTTTTACTTTTTGACCTTTCCATATAGGTCACAGCCCTATCTACCGTAAAAAAAAAACTGTTGTATGTCTATAGTTTTAATATTTATCTATAGCTTTCATTCGATATAGTTCTTAAAAATTCACTTTCATATAAAATTTTATACGAAAATGTTTTTACTCGTTAATTCAAAATAGAGTTTTTGCACACAGCAGATTTTGGTTTGACAGCGACGATATGTAATGTAAATGTTCGCGCTTTCTTGGTATTAAGCAGTGGAACTTAGATTCGTAACAAACTGTATACTATAATCTATCTTGCGACATTAAGTCTCAAACCACAGACACAGCCCACTGAGTATCTCGCCGAATCTTCTCAGTGGGTCGCGTTTTCGATACGCTGGTAGATTCTGCCAATTCTTGCCAGGGCTAGTGTTAGCAACGTCCACAGGTTAGAGCTTCGTGGGCTCACCTGCTCGCTCGGTTACGCATAGCCTCTAAAGGCTACAGCTTAGGTAGGATAAAAAAAAGTTCTCATTTAATTTATCCAACCTTTTAACTCAGCACGCATGATTCACTGTGCGGAAGAAAAAGCAAAATGGTGTTTTGCGCTCGTATTAGCTCACAATACTTTCCACCACCCCTCTGGCATCAGTAAAATCGTAATGATCTATTTCTGATTGTTTTCCCTTCCTTCCTTCTTTATTTTCTATCCCAATGAATTATACAAACTCATCAATCCAAAATTTCTTATGGAGACGTAATTTGATAACTTAGATGGAATCTTTGAAGAAATACCTCGATCACTCAGAAATTAATGAAGTACTCTAGATCAAAGTGATTATTTGAATAAATAATTCCCGTTAATATAAGTAAGACGAAACGTAATTACGATTTAGTATTTATAAATCACTTTCTAATTATGTTTGAATAATAAATTTGTACTAGTTAAATATAGATGGTTTATTTCAGTATTATTCAGAATAACTGGCTGAATAAAGGCTGGATTACTAAACATTTATTGCAGAGCTCGCCTGTTAGTAAACCTGAACCTTATTGAAATGTTACACAGACTTTCTTGCCTCAACCATGTTCAGAGAACGAGTTAAGAAATATTATCAAAGAAAAATTAAATGTCCTCTTCAAAATCAGTCGTCCAAGATATTGATAACATAGCACGTGGAATGCAGATTACTTTGCTCTTCAGGCTGACGCATGGCGGGAAATCGCACGAATTGGCAATAAATCCTAATATCAAATGCACGCGTTTTAGATCCGGAATGACTGTACAGTTGCCTCGAAAATATGCTTGTGAAAATTAATTGCACACCTTCAAAGAAAGGCATGACGCCAACAAAGATAAAACTCATAATTTGCTAAACATTTTCTTTTTGCTTGTCTTGAGATTCTCAACGATAAAGCACAAGGTGTTTTCCAATAATAGCACTCAATGAATTCTAACTAAATCAAAAATAATCTGATCTTCAAGAAAAGCATTAAAGATTCCGTCTACGCTACACCGATTTATATGCGACGACACGATTTCGTTTTCCGATAACGTCACTTCTAAATAACATTACTGCAGCTTCACGGCTATAAATATTTTGTTCGGTCGCCGTTTTGCATTGTACAGAAGAAGACACACTTGAGCGCCCCCGAAAGTGGAATAGTTCCAATTTTTATTTGTTGTGTGAATCTATGATTCGATGTTAGGTTTTTTATTATATCTTATACCTTTAAACGAGCAATTCTTGTACATATATATAATCTGAATCTCGGAAACGGCTCCAACGATTTTCATAAAATTGGGTATACAGGGGATTTCGGGGGCGATAAATCGATCTAGCTACGATTTATTTTCGGAAAATGTTGTTTTATTCGTGTTTTCAATAATCAACTCTTCCCGACATCTATTGGCGAATAATAATACTATTTTTCTTAATTGAGGCCAACTAACCGCTTTAAAGACACAACAAGATGGCGTTATCAAAAAAAAACCAGGTCATCATCTAGTCAGAATAAAGTGCAGACAATGAAGCAAGTTTTAGCAGCGCTCTTAGTATTAGAGAGAGAGATATAACTATATATATAATGATACACTTTATTGCACACCAATATACAATTGGTGTGCAATACAAACAAATCAAATCAAAACAAATGAAAGTTCGAAAAAGGAAAAGGGTTTTGTCGGCGACTCCCCATTCCACATTTAATGTGGATTTCAGCAATGTAAGGGGTCTACATAGCAACCTCGACGCCGTACACCACCATCTTGAGACGGCGCAGCCTGCCCTTCTTTTTCTGACGGAGACGCAGATATCTGCTCCGGATGATACTTCGTACCTTGAATACCCCGGCTNTTTGTTACTGTCCGTAGGCCAATATGTGGGCTCTCCAGTTGTCATAGCTAACAAGTGATTAGTTTCAATGCTCTTTTTCAATTCCCGACCTCTAGTTACTGTTAATCTTGAGCCCCAGTATGTATGCTTGGCATTCCAATCGCCACCAGCAATGAATCGGTTGCCTAAAGACATAAAAAACTCAGTAAACATTTTTTCTTTTATGGTGTGGCGCGGTGGACAATATATCGCAGAAAGGATTAGGGGTCCGGAACGATCCTCCACCCTTACAGTTGTGGATTGGAGATAGGGAGCCGCAGTAGATTCCAGGAGATAATGCTTTATACCGTTCTTGATAATTATCGCGGTGCCAGCGTGGGCCCCTCCATCAGGATGACAGGTGACGTACACGGAAAAGCCTGGAACATATATTCTGCTTCTTGGTGTGGTGTGCGATTCAGAGACAAGACAAACATCAAGCTTGTTAGATTTGATGAACGTCTCTAGTTCGTTTTTATTAGGGGCAAGGCCGTTGATGTTCCAAGTATTTGCAAATGGGTACATGATCTTGATTACCACCGCACCCGTACCATAATACAAAGAAAGTCCTGATATCATTTCTCTGTCGTATTATGAAATCGAGCAGTCAATTGAAGGGCCTTACACAGTAACAATCTACCCGGCCATAAGCCCATACATAATGGGTGTGAGATTTAGGTCTCCTAAAACTCCTATTTTATCGTATCCTTACTGTCAGGTATTTTAGTACTTCATGTAATCTCGTTGGGACGCACACTTTCGTTTTGTTCATTACGGCTTAATCTCGGCTTAGTCTGATTGGCCACGGCTGGTATTGTATAATAATATCAATGAAGATTCTTTTATGACTGCTAATTATCTAACTCTTACATTAAACAACAACAACGCAGTGAAGGCATAATAAATGTGTATGCTCGCGGAGGCTTTACAACTAACTTTCAACGACTCAAAAACCAATTGAAATAAGCCATAATCCGTCTGAGTGCTGAGGCTTAACTGAACCGTATTGTCTGTAAATAATAGCCAAATTAGAGGCTTTTTTAAATAATACATGGGGTATAAGAGGTTACATTGAAAATGCCGGCATTCACCTTCAGATGTGCAGTCGAAGTTTGTGTCGGATAACAATTGGCTCTTCAAATCGCGAAGTGTGGTATTACACGCCCACGCGGAGACACAATAGTCTGTTTTCAGATGTGTTCATATATACACATACGCTACACATTTCTAGTGCTGTTGCTAGCATCAGGTTTGAGCCCCGCGAGCTAGCACGCACACAGGTATCTATTGATAATATTGTAATAGTAATAAATAGTATTTTTTTTGTATTACTATGCATATATCGAAAGGTGCTCTGTGTGAATGTTTGGAGGTATATATTAGATCTTCAGATAAAATATAGTTGTCTTGTATAATAAATATTGGCGATGGTAAAAAATTGAGGAAGAGGTATGTACTTCATGATAGTTTTATTTATTTATTGTTCAAACGAGTGAAAGATCTCACAGATCATGTGGTTTTAAGTTGTTGTCGTAGTTCATAGATATTATAACCAAAGTGCTGCCACCCAGCTTGGGACATGAGCTGCACGTCTAAATTGTATAGTATAAATACCCTTTAAACCGGAACCCATAACGCTTCGCAGCAGAAATAGGTAGGCTGGTGGTAACTATCAGAGCGGGCTCATGGTATACTCAAAATACAGTATATAGAACAGGCCTGTTATACTGAGACATTAAAAATAGAACTCATATCTTAAGGTGGGTGGCGGAATTCACGTTGTAATGTCTATGGGCTCCAGTAACCACTTAACACCAGGTGGGCTTGGAGCGCGTCCATCCATATATGCAATAAAAAAAAGAGAATAAGATTCGCTGAGTGAAGATCACATAGCCCAATTGGCAGAGCTATAAAGAGAAGGATAAAAGATATTTTTTTTATGAAGAGTGCCTGACTGAGAAAATATCTATAAGTGAATTATTAGATCAGGGGAATATTAAAAAAAAAAAACCAACCATTTAGCAATATCTTGTAAATAGCACGTGCGACAATTTCGTTTAGAGTGCAATAACAGAATGTAGCGTAATTATAATTAGGTTCGTAGCACGTTTGATGATCTTTGATCCAACGAAAATTTCGAAATTTCCCATAAATTCTGCCGTATCTATAAAATTAATTAATAGCTCCTCACAATGTTTAATTTCCTTCTCTCCATTATGAATTTAAAACAGAGAAGGGATCCGAAGGGAACCTTTTATTGGACAATTACTATGTCAATTCGAAAAGTTTGAAATATTTAATTTTGATACGAGAAAAGGGTTTGACTTCTTAATCGTTTTTATTTACGGATAATTTAATTTGCATCTTTGGTTATCCTATTTATATGTTCAGAATGGAATCAATCAAATTCTATCCCACTATTGTTATCTATATCTTTGTCTTAAGTCGTGTCGACTAATATATGAAACGCCTCTACTACTGCCACTACTGCTAACTCAGATTAACCAAAACACCGGTCACTTTTCCATCGAAAATGATTGCTACTGAAAAACTGAATTTAGGCCATAAGAAGTACAATGACGTCATATTATCGTAATGTAATTTGCAAAAAAATACAGTTCGTGCAAAAATAGCCACCCCATTTATCATTACAATATTATAATGGCGATGAAATTACTACATTCAGGTGATTTTTGAACGGAATTTTGTATTGTTTTTGGATTCAATATCTGTTTATTAATTTGATATTTGGATTTCGCCAATTTGTGTCGCGGAGCACTCATGCGTTACGGGTTAAAATTGAGACAGCGATAATATTTTAAAATTAAGACTTCGTTCTCCTATCTTGAGAATGGTGGTAAAGTTCGCATGTCGATGGGTTCCAGATTGTAAGCACTGATCGTAAAAGGTAATAGAAAGACTTACTATTCGATTTACGTACCTCCGGTGACGTCACATGTAAGTGAAAACGTATCTCCTTCGATGTATGGTCCCACAATAGCCTGCTTGATATCACCTTTGTCGTCCGTGATTACCATTTTAGTAGGAGGCACTGTAACAAAGTAATATTTTAAGTGTTTCTTAGTATTCCTCTTTCGTAAAACGTCAGGAGAGTTTGAAGACTTTAATAATTAGGCGGACGTTTTACAATATAATTGAGATTGGATCCATAAAATGGAGTAAAATTAGAAATGGTCCCTTGGTGAAATGGAACCGAACCCTTGATTTTAATTTTAAACCACTTATATAGAAATTTCACATATCTTAATATTTTTTTCAGGAACTGAAGAAGTTCATACTGAAAGCATCTGATATAAAATTCATTCTCACAATCTGAAACACAATGTCTGAAAACCTTTACCTTCTGAAATAAATCGAAATACGTTTGAAAAAAAAGACCCCTCGTTAATCCCGTAATGCGATTGGAGGGTGGAAGATCTATGCTTTTCAAAACGATCGAAAAAATATTAATTATATTTTTTGAATCGGAGTCCATTGTTTCTTTTGTCCAATCTATACTGGCTAATGCTTATTTTAGCTTTCCTCTGGCACAAGGTCGATTCCAATCCAACTGGCCAACTGAGCATTATGACAGTCACTGTTTGAATATTATCAAAACTTACATAATATTGTCGCTGTCAAACCAAAATCTGCTATGTGCAATTTTTGAGATTTTTACTTTTTGACCTTTCCGTATAGTACACAGCCTTATCTACCGTAAAAAAAAAACTGTTGTATGTCTATAGTTTTAATATTTATCTATAGCTTTCATTTGATATAAAAATTAAATTAAAAATTCTTAAAAATTCACATTCCTAAAAAAAAATATACGAAAATGTTTTTACTAGTTAATTCAAAATAGAGTTTTTGCACACAGCAGATTTTGGTTTGACAGCGACGATATCTAATGTAAATGTTCGCGCTTTCTTGGTATTAAGCAGTGGAACTTAGATTCGTAACAAACTGTATACTATAATCTATCTTGCGACATTAGGTCTCAACCTACAGACACAGCCCACTGAGTTTCTCGCCGGATCTTCTCAGTGGGTCGCGTTTTCGATCCGCTGGTAGATTCTGCCAATTCTTGTCAGGGCTAGTGTTAACAACGTCCACAGGTTAGAGCTGGCTCACCTACTCACTCGGTTACGCATAGCCTCTAAAGGCTAACAGCTTAGGTAGGATAAAAAAAGTTCTCATTTAATTTATCCAACCTTTTAACTCAGCACGCATGATTCACTGCGCCGAAGAAAAAGCAAAATGGTGTTTTGCGCTCGTATTAGCTCACAATACTTTCCACCACCCCTCTGGCATCAGTAAAATCGTAATGATCTATTTCTGATTGTTTTCCCTTCCTTCCTTCTTTATTTTCTATCCCAATGAATTATACAAACTCATCAATCCAAAATTTCTTATGGAGACGTAATTTGATAACTTAGATGGAATCTTTGAAGAAATACCTCGGTCACTCAGAAATTAATGAAGTACTCTAGATCAAAGTGATTATTTGAATAAATAATTCCCGTTAATATAAGTAAGACGAAACGTAATTACGATTTAGTATTTATAAATCACTTTCTAATTATGTTTGAATAATAAATTTGTACTAGTTAAATATAGATTGTTTATTTCAGTATTATTCAGAATAACTAGCTGAATAAAGGCTGGATTACTAATCATTTTATTGAAGAGCTCGCCTGTTAGTAAACTTGAACCTAATTGAAAAGTTATAGACTTTCTTGCCTCAACCATGTTCAGAGAACGAGTTAAGAAATATTATCAAACCAACTTAAATGTCCTCTTCAAAATCAGCAGTCCAAGATACTGATAATATAACACGTTGAATGCAGATTAATTTGCTCTTCAAATTGACGCATGGCGGGAAATCGCACGAATTGGCAATAAATCCTAATATCAAATGCACGCATTTTAGATCCGGAATGACTGTACAGTTGCCTCGAAAATATGCTTGTGAAAATTAATTGCACACCTTCAAAGATAGGCACGACGCCAACAAAGATAAAACTCATAATTTGGTAAACATTTTCTTTTTGCTTGTCTTGAGATTCTCAACGATAAAGCACAAGGTGTTTTCCAATAATAGCACTCAATGAATTCTAACTAAATCAAAAATAATCTGATCTTCAAGAAAAGCATTAAAGATTCCGTCCGCTACACCGATTTATATGCGACGACACGATTTCGTTTTCTGATAACGTCACTTCTAAATAACATTACTGCAGCTTCACGGCTATAAATATTTTGTTCAGTCGCCGTTTTGCATTGTACAGAAGAAAGACACACTTGAGCGCCCCCGAAAGTGGAATAGTTCCAATTTTTATTTGTTGTGTGAATCTATGATTCGATGTTAGGTTTTTTATTATATCTTATACCTTTAAACGAGCAATTCTTGTATATATATATATACGAGAATTGCTCGTTTCTTGTATATATATATATACAAGAATACGTATATATATATATATATATATCATATATAATCTGAATCTCGGAAACGGCTCCAACGATTTTCATAAAATTGAGTATACAGGGGATTTCGGGGGCGATAAATCGATCTGGCTACGATTTATTTTCAGAAAATGTTGTTTTATTCGTGTTTTCAATAATCAACTCTTCCCGACATCTATTGGTGAATAATAATACTATTTTTCTTAATTGAGGGCAACTAACCGCTTTAAAGACACAACAAGATGGCGTTATCAAAAAAAAACCGAGCAAAGCTCGGTCATCATCTAGTCAGAATAAAGTGCAGACAACGAAGCAAGTTTTAGCAGCGCTCTTAGTATTAGAGAGAGAGAGAGAGAGAGTGAGAGAGAGAGAGAGAGAGAGATAATGATACACTTTATTGCACACCAATATACAATTTACATTAAAAAACAATCAAAAAAGCAGATACATTTGTACAATAGGCGGCCTTATCAGTATAAGCAGTATAATTATCGACAGACATTATAAATATCGACATCATAAATATCAGTATTAGCAGTATAGTTATCGACACTACACCACTTCCCAATCTCGAGGGTCATGAGTCCGTAGTTCTTGGTAAATCCAAAATTAATTGGGCTTCGATTAAAGGCCGTAACCAAAAATGCTTCCATAGTCCACGGAAGATGGAGCTTCGACAACGATTTTGCAGACACAGAACTGGTGGTAGGATCTCTTGTGAGTCCGCACGGGTAGGTACCACCACCCCGCCTATTTCTCCTGTAAAGCAGTAATGCGTTTCGGTTTGAAGGGTGGGGTAGCCGTTGTAACTATACTGAGACCTTAGAACTTATATCTCAAGGTGGGTGGCGCATTTCTATTGTAGATGTCTATGGGCTCCAGTAACCACTTAACACCAGGTAGGCTGTGAGCTCGTCCACCCATCTAAGCAATAAAAAGAAAAATGAAGATTTGATTCACATAGATGGGCCGGCAAGTTCACTGTTCACTTAAGTCCAGTAAAAATAACTAGAAATGTAATAATTTAATAAGGTACTAAGCTTTTGCCCGCGACTTTGTCCGCGTGTAATAGTTACTTTGGGATAACGGTAAATTTTACCCGCGACTTCGTTTACGTAGAAGGTGAAAATATTTTTGAATAATATAATGTTATGGAGCTATTTAAAGTACCAAAATAACGCTTCAAAGAAGGAGGTTAACAATTCGACAACCATTTTTTTTATCTATGTCTGCTCACTGATTTCTCGAAAATGCTTAAACCGATTCTGATAATTATGTTTTCTTTTTTTTTTGTTCCAAAATTTCAACATAAAAAATACTCACCAATAACAGTGAGATTGACTCTTGAATTCCTAGTTTGGGCTTGTTTGAAGTCTACTCTACATCTATAAACTCCTTGGTCTGTAGCCCTGACGCGGTCCACGCCGAGTTCAGCGGGCCTTCTCTCTGGCAGGAAATAGGCTCTGGACGCAAATACACTCTCGTCAGACCACCGCTCTGCTACTCCAAAATCTCGTTCTCTGGCGTCCACGCTGTAGGAAATAAAAGATAATTAAATTTTTGACATGACAACGTCTTATAATTCGATGGAGCCGGCTGCACGCACGAAAAGACATGACTCATTGAGGCGTTCCATTTAAAGCTTGAAGTGCAAGCGTGAGCGCGCAACGAGCGACAAAGAGGCACAATCGGCCTCCGCGTTCGGCAGCGTTCAACATCTGTCTCTCTCCTACTTGAGTGAGCGATGCATCCGCGTGGACAGCTGCTATACAATAATACATTTACATGTTTTCGTCAAGTATGAAGTTCAGTGAAAAGTGAATGTGGTGTCAATTGTTTATAGCAACGATAATTGCGATAATTGAAAAATGAAACCATTCCATCAGTATTTTCTTATGACGTTGTCACGTTCAACTATAGTCAGTAAGCCGACTTTACAGACAACCGATTTTTTTATTTATGTTTTATTGCTTAAATGAGTGGACGATCTCATAGCCCAACTGATGTTAAGTGGTTACTGGAGCCCATAGACATCAATGCGCCACCCACCTATGAGATATAAGTTCTCAAGTATAGTTACAACGGCTCCCACCGTTCAAACCGAAACGCATTACTGGTTCACGGCAGAAATAGACAGGGCGGTGATACCTACCCGCGCGGACTCACAAGAGGTCCTACCACCAGTAATTACGCAAATTATAATTTGCGTAATTTTGCGTAATTAATGGTCCATCCACCTTGAGATATAAGTTCTAAGATCTCAGTATCGGTAATTCTCATCTCAGTAATTCAAATATAAACTTCGGCAAAATAAAAAAGTCTCACAATACTTTTTGCACATAATGGGTTTGAAAGCAATGAATTTTGAATTTTCAGTTTTTTAGAATTCAAATGAAAGCGCAACAATTTCTTGAACTCTATCAGCAGATAGTGTCTAAAAATTAAAACCCCAAAAACAAGGTGTGAGTTAAAATATCATCGGCCTACTTAAAAAAATATTTATCCTTTTTTTTTATATCTTTATTTAAGAAGCTTATTCACTTAGTGAATATGTCACTCCAGTGCAACTAAAGAGAGTAACAAAAAATTATATAAAAAAAAAGGAAACTGTTATCGTCTCTAAAAGCCCACCAACACTATTTTATAAAGTGACTTAGCCATTTCGGATTCTATATTTATCCTAATTTAGTGATTTGCCTCGAACCGGTTTCTAAGTTCTCTAAAATATTTATAAATTCAAATGACCCTCAGAGAGGAGTCTTAGAAATTCCTTTCACATTTAATGAGCTGATGTTAAAGAACACGAAATTAACTGATTAAACTTTGGACCTTGCCAACTTTGGAGTTGCGTTTGAAATGCTGAAGAGCCTTTAGGGGTGACGTAACTTGGCACAAAACGAAACTTGAAAATCTGCTTATGATTTTATTATTTCCGTGTTGGAAAGGTTTGTTGTCATTTTTTGTTAGGTTCAAAGTTTTTGTACGCATTCATTTTCTGACTGCGTAACATACTTTTAAATCTAGCCTGAGTGTTTAATTTGTAAATTTTATCGCAACCTACATTCCTATCACTCTTATCCTCACTTGATTGGTTTTTATGACTTTCTGTTATATAAATGTGTCACTATCGAATGCTTTTTCATGTAAGATGCGGGTCGTATTTGCGTCCACGTTCGTGGTTCTCTTAGCGAGTACCTGTTCGTATTGCTCAACAGGAGGTCACCAAATTCTTTGTTCTAACGATAGCTTCTTGAACGTTAATGACTGCCATTACAGCAGCAAGCCGTAGATTAACGTGACCAAGCATTGTTTAGTACACACTTACAATTTATTCCTGTTTTTTTTTTTTTTTTTTTTTTTTTTTCTTAATTAGAAACCAGATTAATACGTTAGCTGAACCATACAATGAATTTGAGGAATGTTGTAAATTTCACGCGTTTGTTTGTTTTTTTAGTGCTTATATGGGTGGACGAGCTCACAAGGTGTTAAGTGGTTACTGAAGCCCATAGACATCTACAATGTAAATGTGCCACCCACCTTTTACTAGTTACAATGGCTGCCTCATCTTTCAAACCATGCATTTGTTTGAAACTAATATTTCACGTTGATTTATAAGATTTTAGGTATATCAAATTCTTTCTTCGGGTATCTGTCTAGATAAAGTCGTTGGAGGTTTAAGATAAGTCTCTCTGGTTGTTCTTTAATGGCTTTGACTTCAGAAAGCGAAGGTTTCGCAGCTTGATATCTTGATTAAATCTAGCATATTCTAATTTTCTGAATATTAATGTTACAAGATTCCATGAATATGAAAGTAAATTAAATAGAATAAATAGTTAGCAGAAACCAAACTTGCTTCAGATTCCAATCTCATTTTCACTTTATGCCCGTATTTAAACAAACCTTGTTGAATGAAATTCCCAAAGTAAAGTATTTAATTTGGATATATAGCAAAGATTTAGCATTAATATTTTACTACGTAAATCTTCTCGTGTACTTTTCAACTATCAATATTGTTCACAAGGTCTTTCAATTTAATTTTGAAGTCGTCGTGGCCTAAAGGTTAAAGACGTCCGGTGCATTCCTGTTGAGCGATGCACGGGTGTTCGAAATCCAGGCAAGTACCAATTTACTTACAATTTACTGACTTTTGTAACACAGGTTTTTCCTAGCATAAAAGTCAGGGAATATTGTTATTGTATACCTCATAAAAAAGCCATGTATATTATTATACTAGTGTTAAGTATTTTTGTACGTGTTTGTATTTTAAGAAGCCTGAATAAGATACAATGAAGAGAAATTAATCAATCTTACATAATAAAAAAAAAATGTAATGAAATACGTACTCAAGAAATGTTCACGATTAACTTCCACGGCGAAGGAATAGCATCGTGTAATAAAAATCAAATCCGCAAAATTATAATTTACGTAATTACTGGTAGTAGGACCTCTTGTGAATCCACGTGAGTGTGTGCCACTAACCGCCCTGCCTATTTCTGCCGTGAAGCAGTAATGCGTCTCGGTTTGAAGGGTGGGGCAACCGTTGTAACTATACTTGAGACCTTAGAACTTGTATCTCAAGGTGGGTAGCGCATTTACGTAGTGGATCTCTATGGGCTCCAGTAACCACTGAACACCAGGTGGGCTGTGAGTTCGTCCACCCATGTAAGCAATAAAAAAAGTGGAATGCGTAAGTAATATGTAATTGATGACTTGATTTATGTTATTAGTTGGTATGGGATATTATGAGCTATAATCATCCTATCCTTACTAGCATTATGCAAGACTGCTTTGTGGTAGTCATGTGTAGGATCGTTTCTATACTTCACTATACTTCCTATCATGTTCTCTTTCTTTCTCTTGATTTCCGAACTGTAGCTTTGGTTTTACAATATTAAGGAAGATTTCAATTTGGCTTAATCTGCTGCTCTGATGATAACGTCACAAATGAGTTGCATAGTTTGGTATAGCCTGAATAAAACATTAGTATTTTCAAAGGTCCGTAAGTATAGCTCCCTTGAGTTACAAAGTAAAATTTCTTTCAAGCATTGATGCTTTTTACTTCGCTAGAGTGGCGATGCACTCAAAACTTTTACGTATGCGCAAAGTCGCTCGCTCCCAAGACTCAAAGGGTAAGAATTCTTTGTACCAAAGATTTGGAATCTAAGATGAAATATGATATGAATGCATTCTCGAAGCGATTGAATATTGAAATATTGGAGTCTGGTACCAGATGAAAGGAATTTTTAGTGCAGTTCAGAAAGTTTTGATATCAAGAGATGATAGAAGATCCATCTTTTACTTATTTATATTTTATATTAAATGTGTTCTCCTAATGGATTTATCTTTGATGTGAGTACAATGTTTATTTATGTGACGTCAGTTAAAGTACGCGCTGTTACAAATTGTCTGTTATTTGAATGCACAAGCATTTGCGATCAGATTTAAAATTCATTTTAATTACAGATTTTGTAGGCAGCGATTTGGCTCTGCCCCTGGCATTGCTGACGTCTATGAGCGACGGTAACCACTCACCATCAGGTGGGCCGTATGCTCGTCTGCCTATACGGCAATATAAAAAAAAAGATTGAGGCTTATAAAAACATTTGGGACCGCTTGAATTAAATTTAGAAAAAAATCTGTGTGGTTGACTTTAGTCACATAATTTTAAAAGTGATAAATTTCAGGATTTCTGACTTAAATCTGATAATTACTTTAGTGATACAATTTTTCATTTTATATTTAATATAAGTCAGCTTTGCTTTTCTAAAAGTGTTTCTCAGTTACTCAGTTATCTAGATTAGTTCACTAAGACGCAGCTTAGGTAGATTGCGTTTAAATCAGATTGTTTTTGTTACAAACACCGCTGCGATCGTGTCTACTATAAACGAAAGACCTTCGTAAGATTGTCTCTGCTCCAGATGAGATCCAGATTCTGTACCGAAATATAACTAATTTACATTTATTCAGAAATTAAACTCAAATAATATTGTTGATTTGACTAAACTTGTAAGTATGATGTGGCGTAATTTTCATTTCGTTTTCTCACTTGCATAATAATAATAGCCAAGGTTTTCGCAAATCAGTAACTTCGACTTTGAACTGCGCTAAGCCTTACTAAGCTAAGCCTTGTGTAATATACGCTTCAAGGCAGTTAGATATAAGATGATCTATTTCCAGCTGACCCAAGTATGAACATTTATTATCACAACTTTTATCTATGCGCACAAACTAGCCGATATAATATAGAAGCATTTATTAATTCATAAATTCTAAGAAAGTCGAAGTTCTTGTAAGATATTGTTTGGGACGATTGATTATCTTTTTTATTATGATTTTGCAGTTACTTTTCCTTTTAGATTCTTCGGTAAACTTTTACCTGTATATAGGCGTGCCTAGATCTTCCCTGTACCACAGAACAAGTAGAACCGCATCTTCTTCGTCTTGGGTCGCGATGTCGCAGGGTAAGTACACTGGCTCTCCAGACACCGCCACCACTTGCGTCATCGGTACTGGAAAAGAAATATGCGAATTAAAATTATAGTTTTCGCACCATCACACTGGCCATTTCTATCATTAAGTATTCATGCAGCGGTGGCGAGTCATGTAGTAGACCTAAGGTACCTCGGTGGTACACCTGTCTGGCGGCTGCTCCTTAATATCGTAGGATCCTTAAGATCGCATCGGTGGCGAGTAATACATTAGTATAATCAAACGTACCATTCAAACTAGAATAAAAGAACGCATCAACTGCTAAAAATCCCGAAACACAGAAATCTGCCATTACCAAATACATAAAAATTGGGGTCCCTAATCGTAGATTGAGTTTCGCAAGCCACAAGTATCATAGAACCTTAGGCTATACCAAGTCTGTTCAAAAATATAATTCAGGTGGTCAACTATAAATAATTAATAAGCTCTGAGCTTCCGGTAGGCAGCGGCTTGGCTCTGCCCCCGGCATTGCTGAAGTCCATGGGCGACGGTAACCACTCACCATCAGGTGGGCCGTATGCCCGTCTGCCTACAAAGGCAATAAAAAAAAAAAAAGCTTATCAGCTCAGAGCTGATAGTGTACTGCCACCTAGTATTTAGGTTAGTAAAGAGCTATTCATTCTCAAAAGTATCGATACAGCAAAAGAAATTGCCCTACCTATTCGCTGATAGCCTAAAGGGCTATTCCAGTTACGTACCGACGGGTAGGTGAGCCTACGGGCTCAACCTAAGACAATTTTCTAACACTAGCGCTAGCAATAGCGGTGTTTATCAGAACCCACCACTGGATCGGAATTGCGACCACTGAGAAGATCCGGCGGGAAACTCAGTGGGCTGTGTCTATGGGTTACCGTAAGAACAGAGTAGTGCTGTTTTTATGATATTATGAGGTCTTTCAGTCAATTATCTTATATCTGACAATAAACGGTCATACTATCTGTATGGTTTAGTTTACAATAACTAATGTTACCAGTTTCGGTGGGATGCTAAAATCTATTCGATTTTCAAATCACATCCAATTCGACTGGTATAGGAGTAGCATCAAACGGATATTGAAAAAGGGGGATCAGTCGAAATTCGAAACCGGATAAAACCGTTTGTAAAATAACGCAGTAATCGCTAAATTTAATTCCAATTAATCTACAGAAACCGAACAGAATCGAAGTAATCGAGGAGGAAGCGTTTAATCCCTTTGCTTCGCGAGCACGGAGTTTTCAAAAACAACTTTTCTGAACATAAACAAGGATTCGCGTCAATTCAATTTCCTTGTATTTTTAGTATCAGTAAGTTAGAGAATCCGACAAATTCTATTTGCGTGCTTAGATTTCTATCTTCTAGCGTTTCGGAGTTTAAATCAGCATTGGTAGCTACGAGCGTTTTGTTTAACGATCGAAGTGTACTTTTTGTGGGTGTTAATGAAAAACTGGTTAAACTGATACTAAGCGGAGTATAATTGGAGAGAAATTTTGTTTGATCTTCTTTTGTTGAACATCTAAATTTTCAAAGTTAACATAAATCAAATATCCACATTACACGATTATTACGTTGTTTTCATAAACAAGAAGAAGACGGGGAGTATCTACAGGGAAATCTCTGCCATCTGATAACGAAAAAAATTTAGAGAGTTGATTTTCCTTATTCAAAAAATTATGCTGCACAACCGATTGTTATGAAAAATGTTTCGCTTGGTTTCTTCCTTTCAAGCATGCTTTTTTTTATTGCTTAGATAGGTGGACGAGCTCACAGCCCACCTGGTGTTAAATGTTTACTGGAGCCCATAGACATGTACAACGTAAATGCGCCACCCATCTAAGGTCTCAGTGTAGTTACAACGACTGCCCCACCCTTCAAACCGAAACGCATTACTGCTTCACGGCAGAAATAGGCAGGGTGGTGGTACCTATCCGTGCGGACTCACAAGAGGTCCTATCACCAGTTTCTTCTTCTTCTTCTTCTTCTTCTTTGTCGTTTCCTCATTACTGAGGGTCGTGACCACCTTGATCCAGTTTCTGACAACTTGGAAAAATTAATAGTTGTAGGTCACGTGGAAGGAAAGAGAAGTCGAGGAAGATTGCCAACCAGGTGGACGGACATTATCAAGGACCACCAGTTTAGCGTTCTGCAAAAGAGACCAAATAATCTTGCACAAATTCAGTGCGTTCATTGTCTCATTGTGTCTGGACACGGAAACGATTGCTGCGACGTCCGGTTCAAGACCGGAAGCGTCAGTTATCCGGCCCGCATGTGCTTTGTAAGCTCTTCATATAAGCGCTCTCTGAATGTTGTTTAAATCTGTTTTGTTGTTTTTATAAACTAGACTAGCTGACCCGGCGTACTTCGTAGTGCCTCAATAAATACAATACCTAAACTTTTGTATAAAATAAACTTAAAACAAACTAAAGGAATCCGTCCGCCGGGGGACACAAAAAAGGGAAATCAAAATTGTTATTTTTATTTAATTCCGAGCATTTTCATATTTATCTACCTTTTAAACCTTCTCTAGACTTGCACGAATAATTCAAGACCAAAATTAGCCAAATCGGTCCAACCGTTCTCGAGTTTTAGCGAGACTAACGAACAGAAATTCATTTTTATATATATATAGATTAAGAATTTATTTATTTATTTTTATTTATTTTTATTTTATTATTATTTGTGGTCATAGTTTAACAAAGATTAATAAGCTAATATTAATAAATGTATGACTATGTCCTGCTAGTAAAGCGTACAAATATTAGGTGTAAGTCTACATAAAAATAAAAATAAAAGAATGTTTTCTTTATATAAATATTTTTTTGTTACTATATCGATCCATTAACATGAACTCGTCATGGCCCGCCTGGGCTTGAGTGATGACCGGAAACATTACAACATCAGCATTGCCATGGAACGTTGTCTCATGAGATCAAGTATCAATACGTCAAGCATCTTACCTTAATCCACGAAGACTGATTTCATTGATTTGAAGATTTGTATGTTGTATTATTGCTTTGTTGCTCACATCCCAATTAGTTTTAAGTGGTGTAAGATACCACCAACCTAAATGATGTGAATGACCTTAAGATATGAGATTGAAGTCTAGAAAATTATACTGTAGAAGGATACTATGTAGTAGTAGATATTGTGGTAGGGAATCTTGTAAGTCTGCGCGGGTAGGTACCACCACTTCGCCTGTATTTGAAGCAGTAACGGGTTTCGGGTTTGAAGAGTGGAGCAGCCGTTTTACTGTAGAAACTGAGACTTTAGAACTCATTTCTTAATGACTCCGGTGTCTAGTTAACGCCAAATGGACAGTGCGATCGTCCACCCATCTAAGCAATTAAAAAAATATCTTAAGTGGCACGCTGATTCCACTACCATTGCTTCGTTACTTGTCTCCGGATACAGTTTCACAACGAAAAACTTCCAATGGGAGGATAGATACATACTACAATATTCTACTACTAATTTTCAGACATGAATTCAAAGTTCAAATTATATACAGACTGTCTCGTCGTGCTCACTCGAAAGCTTACCCTAGAAATAGGTAAGCTCATAATACGTCCTAGAATCAGTTCGCATCAGTGTGTATACAGGCAAAGACAAAACAGTTAAGCATCATATTCTCCTCTATTTATCCATACTGTTTTCCTGTTGAGTTAGAAATCGACAAGCTTTAGCATTAACAAAATGTATTTTTGGTAACACTTTTCTTCTCGACTGTACCAGAAAAATAAACCCTAAAAATTAAAACATACAATTAATCTAAATCTTAAGTCAGTCAGTGTTTATGATTGAATGTCGATCACTACGCGTGCTCTAGTTAAATCAAAATCTTACTTCTATTTAATAATCTGCTAAAGGTAAAAGACGAAGTGGTGCAGCACTATAGATTTCCCTATCACTTTGTTCCGTTATATTTCTCAATGAACGGTAAATATCGATACATTGAAGTGCACGTTTGTAAACCGAGGCACTGTTGGTTTTGCAATTGAAATCGTGTCTCAAACCGGCTCTCGTCGGGAAATGCTATTAATTTCCGAACGTCCACGTCGTCTGTACCAGTGTGTCCTACTAGCTCACAGTGAAATAATCTTGTTATATCCATCGTACGGTGCAAATTAAATAATGTTATTCGGCTTTCTGGGTGACACACGAAGATCTTGAAGTTTTGTACTCATGAAGGCCGTCACTTAAATTTTCTTTGTATCACACTTTTACTAGCCTCGGTGTTTAATCAAGTCAGTCTATCTGAAATTGCAGCCCATCGACACGACAGCTTAAATGTAGCATTTCAGGTCGTATTTTCGGGCTTAAATTAACCCACAGACAGAGCCCAATGAGTTTTTCGCTGGATCTTCTCAGTGGGTCGCGTTTCCGATCCGGTGGTAGATCCTGCGAAGCACTGATCTTGCTAGAGTTAGTGTTAGCAACGTCGTCAGGTTTGAGCCCCGTGAGCTCACCTACTTGTTAAGGCTACGCTGAAATGGTCTGCATCAGCTGTCAAAAAAGTCCCAGCCCGGTAACTGTTTAGTTGAAAATAAGAATTTTCCAATAACACCTTGCAGAGTAAAAGCTTTAAGAATTAAAAAAAAACCCATAGGAATATTCACTCGTGACATCCATGTCGTATTGGATAAAAATATCATCAGTCACATATCAACTCTGAAGTTTCCGGATCCGGTAATCTCGTTTTCGAATCCTTCGTAGTGTTGTGTTCGAATAAATCCTGTTGTGAATTGATTCGCACTGGAGTACAAAATCGCAGCGTACGTCACATATTTGGCAGCCACCCACGTTTTTTTTCGCATACAATGCGAAATGGATTACATTGTGGGATGTTTTTTTTTACAAATTTAGATTTGTGGGAAGATTTTTCCGCAACATACAGGGGCTTTGCTGTGCCGTTGGTATCGTAAAAGGCGAAAAATTCCCCAGAGAATGGGCAACAGCGTTTTCTGGCATACTACGATTACTAACCTACATACGTTGATGGTAAAACATATTGTGTACCTCCGTGCGTAAGTACCAGTCCTTTATA